AATTGATCCTATCTTTGAAAATTTGTACCAATTAATCCATACAGGGAAAAGATTGATTGGTTTTCATAAAAATTCCACAAGACAACTTATTGGCTAAAAAATCAATCGATTCTTTTGAGGAGAAGATCAATCCCTTTTATGCAATTTTGGCTAATTTATTTTTAAACCATGTGAGATGAATTATTTTTGTTGAAAAACATTTTTTATTAGATAAAAAGCTAAAAAAAATTCAAATTAAGTTCAAATTAATTTAATTTAATTTTAGCAAATTTTTGTTTTGTCATTCCAAAATATTTTATCAATTTAAGGCTAACATCATTCTTGTCCATCTTTCATTGAAACCCAATTTCGTCATGATGGACTCAAGGAATAGCCACTCTACTCTATTGTACGCTTTACTCGTGTCCAGCTTAAAAACTCCATAGCCCATTTTGCCTGTTTTTCTCAACTTCAAGGAATGAAGCAATTCATAAGCTATCAACACATTATCAGATATTAGTCTTCTCAGGACAAACGCACTTTGGAGTTCCCTAATACAAGTGGCTAGACATGTTTCAACCTATTAGCCATGGTTTTTGCAATAATTTTATAGCTTACATTGCAAAAGCTGATAAGTCTAAAGTTGGCCATAACTTTAGGGTTTTTTACTTTAGGAATCAATACAATATTAGTATTATTAATATCATGAAGATTATGCCCCCCATTAAGAATAGATAAAGAAACTCTAGTAATTTCAGGTCCTAGTATATACCAGTACTTCTGATAAAATAAAGGTGGCATAACATCTGGTCCAGGGGTCTTTGTAGGGTTCATTTGTTTGATCACTCCGTTGATCTCCTCAGGTTGAAATTTTAAAAGTAAAAAATCATTCATCTCCTCAGTAACTCTAGTGTCCACTGCCTTAAACACCTTGTCATAGTTGGCTAATCTTTGGGATTCAAAAATTTTGCCAAAATACTTAGTTACAACGCTTACAAGTTTGACCTACTCTTCCTGCCATGCACTCGACTCATCTTTCAGCCTTTTTATAAAGTTTGCCCACTTTCGATTGGAAGCTTGAGCATGAAAAAAAGGAGGTGTTCTTGTCTCCCTCACTGTCTCCCTCACGAAGCCACAAAATCCTGGAACATTGCTGCTAGTAAATCTCCTCCTGTTCTAGTAATGAGTTAAGGTCCCCACGGCCCTTGCATGCTGTTTCACCAGAATTGTTGCATGGCTCTGACACCTTGACACGTTCATACTCCTTTGTCACCCTTTCGATTTCATTATGGAACCTTTTGTGCGTTTTGTTATGCTAGCTTAACAAAGCTTCTCTTATTCTAGTCATCCTCTGCATGATGTCGTACTCGTCTCCTACTCCTCATGCCTCATTTATCATGTTTTCAGAATCATGTTCTTTAACCTACATGGCTTCAAAGAAAAACCGTTTGCACCTTCTGCTCCCCCTCCTATTTTTGCTGCCTTCGGTATCCACTTACACTGGATTATGGTCTGATTCGGCATAGACAATATTGCAAATGGAATACATTTGAAACCTGGACTTCCAGCTATCATTTCCTACAACTTTTTTTTTTTTCTCTCTCTCTCTAATCGCGCCATGGTCCTCTCCTCGTTCCCATGTATACCACACCCCTTTAAATCTCAGGTCTTCTAATCCTACATCATCCAGGACCTGACAAAATCCCTCATCTGCCATTCTGCCTGTAGCCGACCTCCCACTTTCTCTATTTCCCACAAAATTTCATTAAAATCTCTTATACAAAGCCAAGGTTTTCGTGAGCTAGGTGCCGGGGTTCTCAACATGTTCCATGCTTCATTCCTTATTCTCACATTCGGCTCACTGTAGAAGCTCGTCAATCTCCATTCTTTCCTAATTTGATCCACAATTTTCATATCAATGTGGTATTTAGAGAAGCTCAACAATTTTAACTCTACCGCATCCTTTCATATAATAGCTAACCCTCCACTCCGTCCCATCGCACTGACCCCAAATACCGAGTCCATGTTGCACTTCCTTCATATTCTATCATGAGCTGTGTCTTTAAGTGTAGTCTCACTCAAAAACACAACCGCAAGATCTTTTCTCTTCAGCTTTTGAAGAGCTCAAATTGTCCGTGGGTTCCCAAGCCCTTGGCAATTCCAAGCCATGCGCCTCATTGGACTCGGCAGGCCTGGAGACCAGCACCCGCCACTTCTAGATTGCATATCAATATTCATTAGGACACATTCTTCCTCAATCACTATTTGTTTCCTTTTCCCTAGCTCAATGGTATTATCATGAACTTTGTGCCCTGTGGCTCAACCAAGTTTCTTCCATTTATCTGTGCTTCCCTTTCTTCCATCTGGTACGTCATTTTCTTTATTCTCCTCAGATAAAGTAACCTCGCTACACAGTAGCTCTTTCATCCCAGGTAACTTATGTACCAGTTCTCTTTCACTTCGGCTATGGGCCCCATGAATTGGGCTCTTTAAAAGTGACCCACCCCCTTTAGGCCCGCTTTTTCCATTATCATCCCCAATAGTGTCAAATACTTTCACACTACTTTTCCCCCTGTTTTGGTTTGACTCCTTCTCTTGCGAATTCTACGTGATTACGAGCATATCCGTTTGTCCCATCCTTGGCCAACCTATCACGTGAGAATCCCCCTTGTGTCATGGCATTTGCATCCCCGAAAATAACTCCATCAGTTACTCCACCGTTAGTGCTGTGCTTCGAGTACACAGCCTTCATCTTCGCCCCTCCAAAGACTTCATGCACACTTTTCAATTGGATTCCGGTCACCCCGTGCGAACGAGCATCAGTTGTATGATCTCTTCTATTAACTCTGTTGGCTGAGGCCGTGTTAATATCATCTTGATGTGCCTTCGATGCTTTCAAATTTGAATTCTTTGCCCTAACAACAATAGATTTTCTTTTCAGTGGGGATGCTCTCAGCCAATCCCCATACAACTGGATGCCCTCTGAGGTATTTTTTGTTGTTGCTTGCCCTTCGCAATCTGTATCAGTGTGCCCCAGTAAATCACATTCATATCAAAATGTCGGTAGCTGTTCGTATTTGATTCTCCCACGTATATCTGCTAGGCCATTATTCCCTATGAGCATCACTACTCTCCTTAGTGGTTTCTTCCCATCAATCTCTACTCGGAGTCAGATAAATTGAGACCATGCATCCTTCCTCCTCCAGGCTACTATCAATGGTTATCAAGTTGCCCAGTTTACTGCCCACCATTCTCGCCACTTCTTGGGATTTCATTCTCAGTGGTAAATCATATACTCTTATCGAGAAACAAACATTATGTAAGCTGTACTCCTGTGGCTGCAATTCTGCTCTATACGGCTCCATTAGCAGCAGATTCTTATCGAATGACCAAGGGGCTCTATCGAGAACCCTATTCTTATCACTCTCAGAATGGAACTTGAACAGAAAAATTTTTTTCTCCAACACCACTATTTCAACAGCATTCAGTAGCCTTTATACTATTTTATTGAATGATGAATTTGTTAAGACTAAAATATTGAACTATTTCAATTTTTTTAATTTAGCCTTTATACTTTTATTATACTTATATAAGTTATTAGCTTTGATTTTTATTCAAATAAATTTTTATTTTAGACAAAAAAATTAATTTATATTAAGTGTTTATTTAGATACAAATTAAATATTAATATCTCTTTTAATATGAATTAAAGGTTAAGAATTTATTTGAGTACAAATTAAAATTTAAATATTTTTTAAATACAATAAAAATATAAAAATTTATTTAAGTAAAGTGATAAAGTTAAAAAAAATTTTAAAAATTATTTTAGTCTTAAACTAAAAGATACATGCAAATTTATAGGAGTCACACTTAGATATCTGTAATTTCATAATTTTTTTCTTTGTTTTCTATTTTATTTGACCATTTGTTCATCAGATTTAGGTGGTATGACCGTTTGTTAGGACCAAATCCAAGTTCACTAACTTCTCAACTAAAAACAAATGATTTCCTTCTAAATAAATAAAAATCAACCATCCTCCTGGCCTCGTGGTCCCAAGCAAATGCATAACATCTACTCCGTCCATCACTTGATTACAATATACGTGGCAGTGGGATGAGTTCTGATGGGGCTTCTTTCGGGTTTGGACTGTTTTTATATTGAGATTGTTTCAGTTTCTAATCCTTATGGCTTTTTGACTTTTCAAGTTGGGACAAGCATTCACGTCACTTCAAATTCGGTCCATTTTGAATTTGATCCATTTTGGAATTGGTTAGTTTTAGATATTGCAATTTGATTTTTCCTTTTATAAAATTCATGTTTTTACTAATTTTGGATCAGACCAATTTCAATCATGAGACGTTATGATTTTAAATCATTTTGAATGTGTACTAATTTTGTTTTTGACTCGTTTGTCTTTAAATTTTTTATTAAATGATAAAAAATATTTTGAATTTTAATTAAAAATTATTTAAATTATTAATATTTTATTTAAATCAATCAAGTTTTTAATATTTTATTTTAATTTAATTAATTTTTAATTAAACAAAATTTAATCATATGACAAAATTGAATTAATCAATTTATGAATTATAATCAATTGAGTTTTAAGAGGGATATTAGAGAAAAAATTTTATTTTATTTAATTTTTATATATATTATTTATATCATATAATAAATTTTCATTTATTTTATTGATATCCATAAAATTTTATCTTATTTGATAAAAAATTAATAGCATTAATTTTTTTTATCTAAACAAAAACTTTATTAGGTGTAAATAAATATTGAAAAAGATTCATTAATTATAATAAAAAATAAAATTTTAATTAATTTTTAATTATAATTTAAAATTTTTTATACATTTTTATCAATTTTTTAAAAAATTTTTTGGACTTCAATCTTTTTTTTTTTTTCTCCAAACAATCCGAGTTGAGTCGGATTCATCTCGAGTCAATCTAGACGCCTTCTCAAATTCAATCACAGTTCACTACGTATATAGCTAAACCGCCGAACCATTAGAAAAATTAGGCACCATCTAGTACTTCTAGAAATATATAGAAAAAAATTAGAAAAAAACAGCTGCCACAACAGGCAGTTTGGAAAACCAAATCCAATTAAAATGATTTCTACTTTATATTGATTCTAGGGACCTGAGTTTTGTACTGTAGCTTGAAGCCTTGAATCAAAATAATTAAGAAAGAGAAGGGGAAATGGAAGAAAACAAGATGAAGAAGAAAGTGATGGTGGCAATAGACGAGAGCGAGTGCAGCCACTATGCTCTCCAATGGGCTCTTGAAAACCTTAGTGACACCATCTCTGCTTCTAAGCTTTTCATCTTCAACGCACAGCCTTTAGCCACTTTTGCTTACCTTTCTGCTGCCTCCTACGGTGCTGCTCGTATGTTTCTCTTCTTTTCTTTTTCATTTTTGGTTTTCTCTCCCTTTCTTGTTATGATCAATTCAAAAATCAAACTCTCAGTTGCATATTGATCTATGTGATGAGCCACAGCTCTGGATTTGATCACCACCGTGCAAGAAAATCAAAAGAAGCTCACTTTAGCTTTGCTGGAGAAAGCCAAGGACATCTGCGCCAATTATGGGGTATGATTAATTTGTTTCTTTCAAAGATTGTTTCTCTGATTTCTATATGTTTAGCAACTGATCTTTCTATCTCTTTATAATTCATTTCTAATCGTACGGTTGACTTAAGATGATGCTCCTTAAAATGGCTCAAAGTATATTTAACTGATATCATCATAAATTAAAAGGGTATAAGATTGATTCATTCATATCATTTTTAATAGGTGATATTTAACATATTTGGAGTTCAGATCTTAATATTTACAATCCTCTCTCTTATATTTAGGTTACAACCTTCTTTACAAGGGAGTTTTAAGCATAATTCAGTTGGTTCTTATAACTACTTTTAAAAGATAACAATTAACAAATATTAAGTTTAAATCTGAACGCCTATAATACCTTTTTCCATTTCCAAATGAGGTCTTTTTAAAAAAATTAAAAGGTGGTTGAGCTGAAGAAATGATCTTATCTTGAAGCATTTATGAATATGTTAGTTCAACCCTTTCTCCATTGCCCCAGACAAATCTACTTCATGTCACAAAAAGGTAAAGTTTTAGTTTGTCCTGCTACAGGTTGATGCAGAGACTATGACAGAGGTTGGGAATCCTAAAGAAAAAATATGTGAAGCTGTGGAAAAGCTTGACATTGAGTTGCTTATATTGGGAAGCCATGGTCGAGGAACTATACAGAGGTTAGTCCACAGTGTGAACAATCTTAATTTGATTTGCTTTCTTATTGTAAAATGGCTTGTAGACTGATATGGGAGTATCTTGAAATACTTATACGAATTTGTTGGAAACAGGACTTTTCTGGGAAGTGTCAGTAATCATTGTGTTCAAAATGCCAAGTGCCCTGTCCTTGTGGTGAGGAAACCAGCTTGAAAGGATTAGCTGTAGTAAGTGAAGTCTATTACTATCATCCATTACCAGTTTAGTGTTTGATAAGTGAAAAAGCTTGTGTTTCTATATTTTGCTCATATGTTTGAGGTTTTAAGGTTGTAAATAAATGGAATTTATATCAAAATGAACGAAAATTGTGTTTATGAAAACAATAAATAAATAAGAATGCAACTTGTTAATTTGGCTTTGAATGTCTTGTTTACTATGGGACACAAATTTGAATATGTCCATCATCCATGTTAACTGACTAGAAAATTTTTTAAGAAAGATATGAGTGGTTGAAATGTATAATGCAATTATCAAGTAAAACATAGTGGAATTTAAATTTTTTTCAATTCCCATGATAAAGAATCACACATTTACATAATATATATTCTAAAACAAGCTTAGGATCAGCTCGAGCAGATTTTTCTTTACAATGATTTTTAACTTGCAACAAGCACAACACATCCAAGATTACCAAGCTAGATTGTGTCGTAAACTTTCAACTGTTTAAGTGTTCAGTTTCTAATAAAAGTTTACATGAATAAAAAGTGAAAGTCTTCTTGAAATATACAAAGAATCTTGTTCGAATAATAAATCTAGCAATTTAAAATACGACATGGTGACACGATACAAAAACGATAGAAATAAAAATATGAATATAACACAATTTAAAATTTTAGCAAAAATCATATATGAATTTAGTAAAATAAAAAAAAGGTATTTAATGTTTTTGTGGTAATATAAATTATAACATGTAATTTTTGTATAAAATATAATTCAAATAAATAAATTATCAGTATTTTACACAATATAAGTACATAAATTATTAGATTTATCGAATAATATGCTAGAAGCACGTGGCTGCCTTTCTAATTTTCTTTAGATTTTTCTCAACACATGAGACTAGTCATTAGGATGATGAAAGGGGTAGCCAAACCTTTTTTAAACAGAGAGTATCCGGTTATGTCTTATTTTTAGTAGCATTTGCCTTTAATTATTCCCATTAGACTTTTAATGGTTTCATTTAGTTCTTGAAGTTCATAACTTCTTTTAAATATGTGTATCACTCATTAAGTTTCTTAACGTGTTGGCAATAAATATAAATATTGTAATCCTTTTGTAATTTTGGATTAAATGAATCAAATTTTTTTATTTCATAATTAATTCTCCAATTAATCAATCTTAATTTTATACATCACGGTTGTCATCTAGCAATGAGTCATGACCACCAAATTGTTAAAAAAAACTCAATGTGGTTTCGCTAAACTATATGTGTTTAGTTTCACTGTATAGCTAATAGCTTTTTATCTCGAAATATCATGGTTTAACTTCGAACTTGAATTAGTGTCTACTCAGCAGATTTAACCATGTTAAATCTTGAGTTTAGAAATTAACTCTGTGAATAAGTTTTAGAATCATTCTAAAATTTTATTTCACTTTGGTCAAAGATTCTTAATTTTGATCAAGACTAATGAGATATTGTCTCGACTACTCAAAGTGATGAATTTTTTATTGATAATTTTATGTATCCTCATGTGTCTAATGTCATATACTTCAACATTATCTGACTAGAGCATGCTGTTGAGTATAAACATGTGCAAGACCTGAAAACACAAACAATAGAATAAGCCCAAAAATAAAAACATACAAATATATTTGGTTCGATCCAACCCAAAGTGATTTACTCTAAACTTAATCCACTAACAAAATAAATTTTTATAATTGTGAGACTTTTGAAATGAGAAAAATCACAAAAACTTCTTATTCAAACCTAATCCCAAAATCAAATTATACCTTTTTAAAAGCCTACCCACTGAGCTATTCTTTTTTGTGTCTAATTGTTTTGGATTACTCAACTAAAAACAAAGCATCATTTTTGTATGGGTGAAGTCCCTATAACTCTTCTAAACTTCTCATGTAGGACTAGGGCAAACTCTCAATATCCTTATAACTCAACTAAACTTCTCATGTGGGATTACAAGATTTAAGACAAATTCTCAACAAATTTTATCTTGACTTAAATTTTCAAAAACTTTAACAACATCTACAAAAGGCATGCTCTTCTCTTTCGCCATAGGAACTAGAATGCCTTTATTGCAACCTTTCCAACAAATTGAACCTCCATCAAGCATGTAGAAGTGATTCTCGACCCTTTTCTCTCGTAGAACCACACATCTTTCTTATACACTTTGCATATATCCACAAGAAGCTAACTCACCCAAGGTAGCAAATTGTAGCTATAATTGGGTATATACCTTAAATGACAAAGAGTCATAACGACACCATTGTGAGATCTGAAGCAAACACTCTCAATACCTTAAATATTCACCTTTCCTCTATTACGAGCCATAATATCACCATACTTCTCATTCTATTCCAACTTTAGAAATCAACTGCTATCATTGTTGTCACTACATATGGTTTTGAGAACCCGATCGTTTAGATGAATTTTAAAATCAAAATAGGGAGTCACCACCAAACTTTTTTTATAAGTGTGGTTGGTCATTTAAGAAAACTTATTTTTTTAATAAAACCCTAAAACTAGTTTAAGATTTATCAAAAAGACAATTTCTAGTCTTCGAAAATAGAGTTAGGCTCGAGAGTAAGGTTATATGTGAGGAAGAATTAGCACCTCACAACACCCGTTTTAAAAAAATACAAATTTATCGCATATTATCCTTTGGCTTTGATAAAAATGGTCTTAGCTTTATTATTTAGAAATAATTCCTTAAATTTCTTTTGCAACATAAAATTCATTTTTCATTGTTTCTTTAAAATACAAATCATTTTATTCTTTGATTAAAATGAAAACCTTTGATTTTGGGATATTCTCTACACTTCCCAATATCTTGGTGAAATTTCAAAAATATCTTTCTACTTTGGGATTTTCATGACAATCCATAAAACCAAAAATAATATTCATTATAAAAGATAATTGTTAGGAATCCATCCAATATCAAGGTAGGATTCAAGAATTATTTATAGTTAGAATGATATTATTTTCTTGCTAGAACATTTCTTTTTTTTTTTTTGTTTTTCAAAACATTAATAAAAAAATGCACATGGATTAAACTAGTAATATAAATGCCAAGTAAAATGCAAATAAATATAGCAAGTTAAATTATGCATATGCCAATTAAAATGTAGATAAATGCAATACAAAACAAATTGAATGTGTAAATGCAGGTCAAAATGCACATATTGTTAGGCTAAAAGGCTCTAATACAATCACACTAGCAGAAGCAAAATCAAACAATCAATCAATTAAATAAAAGATAATAATTTAACGTGGTTCGGTCTAACCGACCTATGTCCATGGATAAAAAACAAGATCCATTAGTTGTAAAAAATTACAAACAAATATCAAATAAAATCAAATACTCATAACTAATACCCATAGATCCTCATAATTTCCTCTAGTCTTATAGAGTATTCTTAACCCAAACAAACACATCCCATATGCACCATTTCAACACAAACAAACGCATACCCATATGTACCCATTCATCATGCCTATGTGGATCATCTCAATCTCCTCTAGTCCACTCTCATGCACCATACAAACATATACACCCATAAAATGTAAATCTCAATTAGTCTTATAGGGTGTTTATCGCAAAAAACCTTGACTCTCACATATTTTTCCCATACATAACCTTGTAAAGACTTTACTTATTTATAAGTATACTAACTTGCTTATTAAGAATCTCTTTCCTCTTAGAATTTTTTTTTTGCAAGTCAAACTTGCCTTTTAAAAAAATTTTTTCTCTTAGAATTCTTCTTCTGCAAGTCTTCTTATCCATCAAGCAAAATCTAACAAATCCTAAATAAATATGTTATGGGATTTGAGCCATTATTCCTAGCATATATGAATGCAGTATAGATTAGGGTTTAGGTCAAATATTGGAACTTAGGGTTTGAAGAAGGTTACATTTTAAGGTTTGGGAAAATGTTCAAATTTAGAGTTTAGACAAAGTCTGACTTAAGGTTTGACTTTTAGGAATTTAGGTTTTGACATATGGTTTCGAGTAGGTTTAGGGTTTCGAGGTTTTAGGGAATCTTAAGGTTTTTGGTAGGTTTAAAGTTTCTCGTAGATTTAAGGTTTGGCTAGGGTTTAGGGTTTTTTAAGATTTAAGGTTTACTAGGTTTTAGGGTGTAGATCTAGGGTTTAGGATTTGGTGACCAATGATCATTTAAGCTTCCTCACAAATCTCCAATATTTAGTAGATTTTAGAAAAAAGCTTTAATAGTCATGATCTCATTTCTTTTATAGGGCTTATTAGTTAATTAAAGATTAATGCATATGCAAAATGTACTAAACATGCATATTAATGACCATGTCATTTATTAATGCTAAACATGTGGTATTAAGCTAAAGGCAAATGATGCATGAGAATAGAATTAAAGCTAATGTGCTATGATGATCTAATCACACATGCAAATTACAACTTTAACTAACTAGCCTACCATTAATTATGATTTAGGATTTGACTTTTAGGAATTTGGGTTTTGACCTATGGTTTCGAGTGGGCTTAGGGTTTCGAGGTTTTAGGGAATCCTTAGGGTTTTAGGTAGGTTTAAGGTTTTTCGTAGATTTAGGGTTTGGCTAGGGTTTAGGGTTTTCTAAGATTTAGGGTTTACTAGGGTTTAGGGTATAGATCTAGAGTTTAGGATTTGGTGACCAATGATCATTTAAACATCTTCACAAATCTCTTATATTTAGGAGACTTTAGAAGAAAGCTTAATGACCATGATCCCATTTCCTTCTTTAGAGATTATTGCTTAATTAGTGTTAAACATGTAATACTAAACTAAACGCAAATGATGCATGGGAATGCAATTCAACCTAATTATGAAATGATTAGGCTACTAATAAAGCACACTTAACATAGCATAGTGTAGGGACCATTAAATAAGCAAAATGTGGCTTATGAGAAGGGAGGTAGAGCTGAACAAATAGTTGGTTCGATTAATTCAATTGTAAAAACTGCAAACTTATTTAACCTATTTAGTCTAAGGTAAAACCAAACCGACCGGAATATCAAATAAAACCAAGAAAATCAAATCAACTTAAGCCAATTGATTTCGATCGATTTTCTTGCTTTAGTTGGTTTTGATATATTGTTTCCTATGTTGAACATTCAACGTAATTTATATAGAGGTAGTTCTTACAACTACTCTAAAACAATGAGCAATACTTAAATAAAACAACACAAATACAATACAACATAAACACAAG